AGAACGTTTTAATAAGCTCAGATCTGATATTGGACGTTAGAACATCGAGTATTAAGCACTTAATGAAGAAGGTGCTTAATCTGTTTGTATGTTGGGCGTAACATAGAGTATGCAATGCGTACAACTCAGGGACTCAGTACGTTGCGTGTACCACGGTGGTACGCAAGGCATACGCACCTCAGATGGACTCGGAATTGTTTTGGGCTTGTAAGCCTTTGGGCCTTAATTAGTCATTAAGCATGGTTAAATTTTGAGTTAGTGGGCCAGTTTATTTTTTTTGGGCCATGGATACTATGGTTGGGCTTTATTGGGCCATGAGACCCATTAATGATTTTGGACATAGACTTTAGGCCAATTAGCAAATGAATACTTTTTGGGCCATTGTGAAAGGACTTGGGCTTTGTGTTCTTCAAATGGATTATGTTAAACCCTAACCTTGATAATGGTATTATTGTTCAGCATGGGTGGTTACAGACTGTTAGGAGAGTAGCTTTCGGATTTAGCAGACAGAGGTGAGTCTTCTCACCATACCAATGGGTCTAAAGCACCAAGTCCGGCCCATTTTATGATATGTGGTATACTAGCTTAAGTTGTATTATGTGGCATGATGTTTGGTTATGTGCTAGGAAGTATGCTAGTTGTATATATGGTATGCTTGTATGGAAGACCATGGCAGAGCCCATGGCACCTGGATGTAAGACCATGTGGAGAGCCCATGGCTTTCCTATTAAAGACCATGGGAGAGCCCATGGCACCTGGATGTAAGACCATGTGAAGAACCCATGGCTTTCCTATTTAAAACTATGGGAGAGCCCATGGCACTTAGGTGTAAGACCATGTGGGGAGCCCATGGCATCCTGGAGTAAGACCCTAGGGACGAGCCCACGGCATCCATATATGTTGTATGAAAGGCTCATGTGGTTTATGTAGCTTTTATAGCAAATATGATTATGTGATTATGTGGATTGTGTGGGGTATGCTCTGGGAACTCATGAAGCATTAGCTTACAGTTTATGGATTTGTTTCAGGTACATCTGAGCCTAAGGGCAAGGGCAAGCCTTGATGATGCAGCATGCACTCTCTCACAGGTGTTTTATGGGACACTGTGATGTTTGGAATAATATTGTTGATGTTATGAAATTGAAAACAAATGTACTTGGGATTTTATAACTTATTGGAAATGTTTTCTACTATTTAAAAATGAATTTTTTTCTTTTGAAAGTTTGGTCGTTACATCTTTTCATTCCTTCTTCCACCTTCTTCCTTCTTTTTCTTCAAAAACACCAGACTAGCTCAAAAAATAAGAGGGAAAGATGATTAGGGTTCTTTTAGGGCTTGAGGGGCTGATGGGGGCTGACGGTGTGACATCCCCAAAATCACGGCCAGAAAAGACCGGTTTTGTTTATACTTTATTTCAAAATCAGAGTTATCTTTTAATAAATGGTTTGCGGAATTTGTCCCAAAACAATAATATGATAAAGATTTATCAAAAGCATTTCCATAGAAATGTATTCATTAAAAGACTCGGGATGTCATGTTCGTACAGATCAAAAGTATAAACAGTACAATATAAGCCTTACTACATTATTTCATATCTACAGGCCTATATCCGTAATCCCTCGTCCAAAACATCACACCTATGCTCATGCGCCACTACCTGTAATACATAAAACTGAGTGGGTCAGGCTTGGGAGCCTGGTGAGCACATAGGGTTTTCAACCCACAATAAATAAGTTTATTAATTTCATCAATCAACAATAACCCGATTACCCGTTCCCGTTATCCTCACTTTACGTCCCTAAACACCTATCATAAGGGACCTAGCCTAAGGATCATCATCGGGACGGACACTACTGCTAAGGGGATTCCTCAGCAATAAATGTCCTAATAGGCAACCATGTGGGGGATGGAGTACACCGGTGAACACATCGTTCACAACACCTACAGGTTGCGAACCTGCTAGTGTTCCACTGGACTGTCTAGAAGAGTCCGTGGTCGTCATCTATACTCCGCTAGATGACTGGATCAACAACAACAACATCGAGGCCTCTCATCATTTTATCACACATCACCTATTACATCTACCCATGTTTTACCCCAACATTTTCGTAGATATAAAATACATATACAGTTTAAATCATTGAAAACATGTATAACAACGTTCATCTAGCATAGATAGCAAGTATTCAGATAATATGCACACATAGCACGTAATTTATATAAAATACTTCATATCTATGTGTAAGTTGAAGGTAACTATGCACTCACCGGAAAAGGTGGTGATTCCGAACTCAGACAGCGCTTCGCTTCTTAAAAAGAATTTTTTTCTTCGACGAAACCTAGTATTATTACCACTAGAGTTTAGTTTATTATTCGTCGAGACTAATTAATAGTCTAGCTATTATTATTATTATTATTATATAAGCATCAAAAAAATACTTATATAACCCATAATAATAGCCCAAGTATTTATTATAAGTTCCTAATAACGTTACTATAATTAAATAAAAGTTATATTAAAAATAGCGTAGGCGTAGCTCACTTACAGCGGGTTTTATAGAAAACCGGGCTTTGCTTGGAGCAGCGTTCCCGAGCCGAAAAGCTCTTCTTCTCGGAGCCTTCGAGCACTCCGGGGCTTCCGCCTCGTGCTAGGGAGGTTCCCTAGGCTTTTCGGGGGATTTCGGGGCTAGAGAGAGGTTCTAGAGAGAGAGAGAGAGTAAAGAGAAGAAAGAATGGGAAAGGTGTGAAGAAAATGAGGGTGGGAGAGGTGGTATTTATAGGGTGAAATGTGGCTGAACTTGGTGCCACATGTCACCATCTGGTGGCAAGCCTTGGGGAGAAAGCAATGGCCAAGATTGTGCCACATCACCCATTTTCGCACAGCACACTTCCGACTTCTAAAATCCGTAACTTTCACATACGACCTCTGTTTTTGACGTTCTTTATATCCACGCGTAGGTAATAATAAGATCTACAACTTTCATTTTGACACCGTCAGCTAATTCTCGACCGATCTTAAATTTAACAGTACAAGGAGATTATACTGTTAAACGTCTGCGTAAAATTAATAACTTCTACATACGGACTCTGTTTTTGTCTGTCTTTTTACCGTTGATTTCCTATTAATGAGATCTTCAACTCTCATTTATGTTGCGTAAGCCAAAAACCGCTCGAACTAAAATTCGAGTTTCAGGCCGTGCACTGCTAAGCCGAATCTTAGAAAAATCATAACTTCTTCATACGAAGTCAGATTTGGGCGTTCTTTTTATCGATGTTCTTAGTTTAACATATTCTACGACTTTTGTTTAGATTGCTAAGGCTAAAAAGTCTTCTATCATAAATTCACTATTTACGTTTCCCGGTGTCGTGCCGGTTTTGTCGTAAAACTTCGGCGGGCCATAACTTCTTCTTTATAGCTCGGATTTCGGCATTCTTTATATGCACGGAAACCTTGAGACATATTCTACAACTTTATGTATAGATATCGGGATTATCTCACACTTTAATTTTGACGCTCATTTTTATTCTTTATTAATTATACATTTATAATTAAATAATAAACACATAAACACACATAATTCACATAATACTCAAATATTTCATATTTATTACTTCAAAAAGAGTTACAATAGTTGACCTAGACTATTACATTGACAAAAATGCTTAGCCCTGAAAACCCAGGCGTTACAGACGGTGAACAAAACCTAGCCTTCATTGTCCTTTAAATAGGGGCAAAACCCAAAAAATTAGGGTTTCATTCCCAGCCATCAACACATCGTGTTCTAAGAGGAACACACAGTGTTGCCAAAATGAAACCCGCGCCTTTTCATTATCTGGACACGCCGAGTCGGTGCCTCCAACACGTCGTGTCAAACTCTCAAAAGGGAATTATACTCAAAGTTGCTTCTCAAATTTACATGTGTTATAGTATAAAAGCTTCTTAATCCTTTAAAAGCTAATATTAAGTTAGTCTTAAGGAGAAGTACTTATCAAACACCAACTTCTCTACTAGTTCTTCAAAAGAAAGAAAGAGGAGAGAGAGAGAGAGAGAGGTTACACTTTTTAGATAGAAAATGTAAGGAAAGATCAAACTCTTTCTTAAGCCTTCCTTCACTTTATATACATTTATGTAGGGATGTTATTCGGTCCGGAACCAAATCGGAACCGAATAAACCATAAACTAAGAGCCAAATACCACTATTTGGTTCCAACCGGTTCGGTTTCTGTTCTAGTTTGGCTCTACTAAGAAAATGTGTTATCTAAGAAGGTTTTCATAACTGGAACCAGATCGGAATCAAAAAAACCAAAAACCGAATAATACCAATTTATAGAACTGGGTATCGGACTGAATAGTTGAATCGTTCCCTGTTCGGTTCTGGTTCAAGTTTACTTTTTCAGTTCAAACATTCATCCCTACTTTTATATATGTACCATGGATCATACTTTAATTTAGTGAACAAGTATGGCAATTATGGAAGAATGGAAATCTAAGAGGTTGGTCAACAAGCAACATCATACCCCCATAGGGGTCCTTAACCGAAGAATAGTAGAGCCAGGAATTAGAGTAACATTGACTCCATCTTATATCCTTACATGTACATGGGTTATTTATTTGAATGTCAATAGGTCCACAATAAATGTACACAACATATAAAACATACTAAAGAGGTTTGTTAATCGAGAATGAAATGAAATCAGAGAACTAATGAATTATGAACACCAAGAGTAAATATAATCTTGTTTCAGCTCTATTATGCTTTCGAATACAGAGAGTACTTAGACATGATACAATGAAAAAGTTCTTATCTAAATCTAAGTATCAACCCCTATTTATAGGAGAACATAAAGCATACAAAATATACAAAGGACTAAACATTACAATTTCGAAACAACAATGCCTATGTAAATAACTTTACTAGAACACCAAATACAAACAACCGTCGACACCTTAAAATATAATTCGACTCTAACAATCTCCCCTTTGATAAGCAGTGTTGAAATTAGGTTGTGAACAGTTGAGTTGCTTCGTGTAACACCCTTCTAATCTCATAATACAAATTAATAATCTTCTTTGTTTCTGCTTTCTCCTTGTCACTATTCTTCGCACAGTTATTCATTCTGATTAGCAAGTTCGTGTAATGCGAAAAAGTGAACCTTTCAATTTCGTTAACTTGAAACAGAGATTTCATTGAAGTGCCCTTCTTATTCTTCCCTGTGAATGTTATCCCCAAGGGTTTCAAACAATGAAGAGGACTCCAAATTCGATTTAAGCACCATCCCTTTCAATTCAACCAACAATTAATTTATGTTCGAATATCTCTTAACATCATCCACAGACATTTGCTCAACCTTTGGACCAAGTGTGTCATACAACTTCACGAACTTTGTAACTACTTCAGCTATGATATCTACCTTCTGGTTAAGAGATGCATAATCTTGTTGTGCAATCACAATCTCTTCGCTCATATAATCCCTGAGTTCTTGGAGCTTTAAATTGACATCTTCTCTGACTTTCATGACATCTTGAACAAACAATGTGTGTCGTTCCTTTGCCACAACCTTCAAGTCTTTAAGATTAGAAGCAAAACTTGATAGTTGTGCCTTTACCCTTTTTCGTTGTTTCGATCAGCATCTTGAATGGCATCATAAAGATGAGTTTCGTGACGTTTCAGTAGCATATCAACCTCCAGACGAGATACTTTACTTCCACCATCATATTGAATTTGTAAAATTGAATTTAGCTTTCGATTAAGGATTTTAAACTATTTCCCTATGAGAATCCTATTGTCAGGAATATTCTCTTCCTCCAAATCATACTGAATGTCATCAAAAGTTCCATCGAACTCATTTTCTTCACCATCAGTTGGGATTTGTTCGTCTTCGAGAGTGACAGGTGGATCTGTGGATTGGGAAGAGAATAATGAGGTAATGGGTTGATCTAGAATGTTGTCAAATGTGGGTGAGTGGGTAATGATTAGAGTAGAAGCAAAGGGGGGTAATGTTGTTGAAGTATCTATCATGGAATTATCGAAGGTAGAATAAATAACAATAGATGTACCTTGATCATGAGAAGTTTCGATATCATACACCACAGGTGGAGTAAGAACAATTGGCTCTGGTGTAGAAACTTGTGAAGGCTCAACAGTGGTGATAACAGGGATAGGCATTTCAACATTCGAAATGATTGGAGAGTCACGCACTGGGGATTCCAGAATGACATCTTCTTCGGTTGACTCATCATCGATTACCAACTTTCAAAGTTTCTTCTTCGAAATATGTCTAGCGATATCTTCTGCCTTTCTTCTCTTTGATGTTTGAGAAACAGGTTCTGGTACTTAGCGAAAAATTACCCCTTTTCGATTAATTTGAGGTTTCACCATGTAAGCAGGAGATGATGGACGGGCCTTCTTTTTCAACTTCTTAAACACACCAGTTCGAGGTGCTAGAACTGTTTCCTCAGGTTTCTTTGCAACAATTGGAGGTGGGGAACTTTCGTCTTGCTTCTTCGACTTCTTAACAACCTTGGAAGAAGAACTATCAGCATGCTTCTTTGAGACTTTCTGTGATTTAACCTTTGAAGAAGATAATAACACCCCAGTTTCAACATTAGGATTGATAGTTGTCAAATAATAGATCAGCACCGGATGAGCAGGATCAATCTTTCACAGCATTGTGTCTGGAATGCGAGCTATTGTAGGAAAAATATTCACATCACCCTCAATTGATTTGGGGAAATTAAACTGAGGAAAAGAAGCAGTTTCTTTGTCTTGAGGTACTTCAGTCCCCTCCTTCTCATACGCAAACTGCAAAATAAGACTCCAGTAGCATGCATAAGAAATTCCATCTACAACATTTGTGTTGACAACACTTTTCACAAATTCATGCCATAGCTAAGTAGCATAATCAACTTGCAGATCATAGTACAACCCTGCAACCATCGCATAACCCATAGCCTCCCTTATCTAACCCCACAGTACGACCAATAAGACAACGAAGATAAAACCCAAAGAAGAATTTCCATAAAAATGGTAACCCAGACTTCTTGAAGTTGTAACAGCCTGAAATTCAGGTAAACTTTATAACCCTTCTATTTTGAGAGTTAGCAAGACGAGTCCTTTAAGGTTGTGTGTTGGTTATGAGTATGCTGGGCATAATGAGGCGTACGCCGCGCGTACTCACGCGCTTATGTTGAACGCGGACTTGCCCGGGTACGCAGGGCGTACCCAGGGTTATGCTGGGCGTAGTGTGCCCATATGCAAACCCGAAATTCTAGCTTGTGCACTATAAAAGGAACGTTTAGTCCTTTGCCCCAGACACCATACCCCATTGAGTGAACCCTTAGAGTGCAGAAATGAGTGCTTAAGCTTGTGTGTGTTCTTGAGCTTGAAGGTACCTTTTTAAGGTGAAGAAGGAGAAGAAGAAGCCATTGTTGGTGCTAGAAGTGGAAGAGCAAGAGTAGATCCGAGTTCTTCAGTGGTTGGAGATCCCTTTTGAGGTAAAAAGCTCAAAGCTTTCCTTGTCCTTCAAGAGTTTTGCTTTTTGGACCCATTTTACGGTTTTTGGTTCTAAGGTGGAGACTTTGTATGCAAAGAGTCTCCATAAACTTAGATCTGGCCTTCCCCAGTGTAAAATGTGTTGAGGATTCATAAAAGTTCAATCTTGGTCATGGATATTGAGTCATGCATGAGTTAGGGTCTTAATATGGAAAGAGGAAAGGTGTTTTGAGTGATAGATGATCTTTATAGCCATCCAAGGCTTAAAGGCTTCAACTTTAAGGAGTAAGGACCCTTAGAGAAGTCAGATCTGGAATATGAGTTCTTGTCTTAAATGTTTAAGACCACAATACTCAATATGGCTGAACCGGGATTTACGTCGGGCGTAATCCCAGTACGCGCAGCGTAGGGGGTGGCACACCCCAATTCTGTGAAGGCATCGGGTACGCCCAGCGTACATGCTTGGTATGCACAGTGTAACCCGGAGGGTTGACTTTTGTTGACTTTTAGGGTTTGGTCAACTTTAGGGTATTTGCACCATGAAAAGGGTAAAATGGTCTTTTACCCTCCTGAGAGTGTTAAGAGAGGGAATGGTCTAGCCTTGGGAAATGTGTTGATGTTGAGTGTTTATTTCGTATGATTAGGTGGAGGCTAGATCCAATTTTCACGAAGTCCGAGATTTCCGAGTTACCAAGTTACACGAGGTGAGTCTTCTCATTATACATTACCTAAAGTGGTATTATGAGTTGACCGAAAGGTCATATGTGCTATGTATGAGATTGTGTGCCATGTATGAGATTATGTGCTATGTGATGTATGTATGATATATAGTTATATAGACCGGACCGGAGGGTCCAACGAGACAGACCGGGCTAGAGGGCCAAACGAGTTATGACCGGACCAGAGGGTCCAACGAGCTACGGGAACGGAGGGTTCCGCTGAGACACATCGACCAGAGGGTCGTACAGTAGCCTCGAGTGGCGTATGTGTAGTATGTGGTATAGTGGGGAACTCATTAAGCATTATGCTTACAGTTGTTGTGTTATGTGTTTCAGGTACTAGCGAGGACCGTGGAAAGGCGCCGGCGTGACCCGTACACACAGAGGGGAGATTTGATTTTGTGATCTTAGGATATGTTTTGATTTGATAACTTTTGTGGAATACTTTTTGAGAATATTTTTATATAACTTTGGTTGTTGAAAAATGAAAATTTTGTTTTGAAAATTTCATCATTAGTTGGTATCAGAGCCTTGGTTTGAGGGACTCGGATGCACCTTCGGGCATATCTGAACTCAAACTGAGGATTTGAGAAATTTTCAAAAAATAAGAACTGATTTTTCTAAAAAGAGCCATAATTTTTGAAACAACCAGAGCGGAGCAGTGTGTACGGTCAGCTTGCGCTCGAACGGTGAATCCCCAAAATACCCTTAGATTATGTGTTATGAGATATGATATGTTATGTTATGCATGCTAGAGTAGGCTAGGTATTCATATTAGGACTAGAGTGGCCTTATTTGTGATGCCTTAGCCTAGGAGATTACTGCTGCTATGAGATGCCTTGAGAGTGAGTAGGTAGCAGTTAGGAGCTCATGAGAGGTCTATCGGAGGGTAGCCAATGCATAGAGAGAGTAGAGTACTTGTGATCCGGGATCCAAGGTGGAGGACTTGGGGTGAATGCTGATGCAGTGTGGTCAGTAGTATAGGGCCCATACTACTGAAGACACTGGATCAGTGAGCAGTCCAAGTAAGAATCCTTTGGATATTGGAGGACGAGTAGGGTTGCGTTATCGAGTGTGAGTATGCTCGATCGAGTCTCTGATATTTTTATGTTGTATTTCAGAGACATCATGGTTGGGACACGACACACACCTTGGAGCAGTGGTGTCAGCGACGAGGAGATCCGTCGATTGATTCATGAGGAGGTGGCTGCTTCCATCTGGGCCGATATTCCAGAGATGTTCGGGGACATCAAGACCACATTGATTGAGACCTTTGATGAGCGTTATGTAGTAGTGACTAAGGTTGCGGTTGCTGCTGTTGCTGCTGCCAGACCTCAGGGAGGTGATTCGTTGTTGTTTGGGGAGTTCAGCAACACAAAGCCACCAGAGTTCGATGGGACGCAGGACCCGATTGCTACGATGAAGTGGATCTCTAATATCGAGGGATGTTTCTACACGTGTTCTTGTCCAGAGCACATGAGGGTACGGTTCGCTCTGAACCAGCTCCGCTTGGGAGCGTAGGATTGGTGGAAGTTCGTGACGACGAGCTTCACTCTAGCAGAGATTACTGAGGTGACCTGGGAGAGGTTCACCGCCATGTTCAGAGATGAGTATGTTCCCCCGGTGGAGAAGGAATAGTTGATTTAGGAGTTCTTGACCCTCAAGTAGGGTACTGATTTTCTTACAGTTGTTAACAAGAAGTTTCATGAGAGGGCGATGTTCTGGACTGAGCAGGTGTCTACCGAGCAGGCACGCATGAGCCGATATTTGGGCGTTCTAAGGAGAGACGTTCGGGAGTGCGTATCGAACTCAATGTACTTGACATTTGCTGAGCTCCTGGAAAATAACCAGAAGAGGGAGATTGAGTTGGAGACTCAGGCCAGGGAGGAGGCCGGGTCACAGAGGATGGATCGGCGGCCGGCTCAGTGTCAGCCGACAGCCAAGCGGGCCAGGCCCGCTGATTCGAGATCTAGGAGCACGAAGGGCCGCACTTGTGGGCAGTGCGGCAAGAGTCACGAGGGGTCGAGCAGAGCTGGAGTATGCTACAAGGGCGGGAAGGAGGGGCATATCACGAGGGATTGCCCTAAGCGATTTTCTGTTTGCTTCCATTGCAACCAGACCGGCCATCGGAAGGTCGAGTGCCCTCAGCTACATCAGGGATCAGCGTAGGAATCTGCGCCTGCTGCTAGGGCTACTGAGGTTCGGCCAGCAAAGGTCTAGGCACCGAAGGCTCGCAGGAGAGCCTTCCAGTTGACAGCGGAGGAGGTCCACGCAGCACCCGACGTTGTGGTCGATATGTATTCTTCTCTCTATTTATTTGATTATGAGACATTATTCTTATATTATGTTATACGTAGGTACCTTTCTTGTGAATTTTGTACCTGCCTTAGTGCTATTTGACTCGGGAGCGAGTCGATCATTTGTGTCGTTAGCTTTTAGTCATCATATCAGTATTTGTCGAGAAGCATTGAGTCGACCTCTGCGAGTTTCTATAGCTAAAGAGAGAGCAGTGTATGCCATAGAGGTGATTCGAGGATGTAGACTTGAGATCTTCGATGTGGGGTTCCGAGTCGATCTAGTCCCGATTGCGATGGGGGGCGTATATGTCATAGTGGGCATGGATTGGTTGAGCCAATTTGGAGCTATTATAGACTGTGAGCGTCAGTTGGTGACGATTCGAGACCCTAGTGGGGGACTACTTACGGTATACGGTAAGGGTACCCGTCCTGAGTCAGCATTTTGTTCGGCTACTAGGGCGAGGCAGAGTTTACAGTAGGGCTGTAGGGGATTTGTGGCCTATGTGATGGACACTCGAGTGGCCGCTGGGAGGCCAAATTCGATTGATAAGGTCCAGATTGTGCGAGAGTTCCCTGATTTTTTCCCCGAGGAGTTGTTGGGTGTGCCTCCCGAGAGGCAGGTGGAGTTTCGTATCGACTTGGTACCAGGGGCGGCACCTATTGCCAAGGCACCCTATCGCCTTGCGCCACCCGAGATGCAGGAGTTATTCTCGCAGCTTCAGGAGCTGCTGGGAAAGGGGTTTATCAGACCGAGTAGCTCACCTTGGGGAGCACCGATCCTTTTTGTCAAGAAGAAGGATGGTTTACACTTGATGTGTATTGATTACCGAGAGTTGAACAAGTTGACGGTCAAGAACCGTTATCCGTTACCGAGGATCGACGATTTGTTCTATCAATTACAGGAAGAGTATTGGTTCTCCAAGATAGACTTCAGGTCGGGATATCACCAGATGAGGGTTCGGGATGCAGATATCCAGAAGACAGCGTTCAGGACTCGTTACGGGCATTACAAGTTCGTGGTGATGCCTTTCGGGCTCACCAATGCACCAACAACGTTCATGGATCTCATGAACAGGGTGTGTAGGCCGATGTTGGATCGTTCGGTGATTGTTTTCATCGATGATATCTTGGTGTATTCGAGATCCAGAAAGAAGCATGAGGAGCATTTGAGGGAGATCATCGGAGTCCTAAGATCGAATAGGCTCTAAGCCAAATTCTCCAAGTGTGATTTTTAGTTACGGGAGGTCCAGTTTCTAGGGCACCTCGTTAACCAGGAAGGGATATTGGTCGATCCGGCCAAGATCGAGGTTGTGATGAGTTGGGAGGTGCCGAGGTCACCTACTGAGATTAGGAGTTTCCTAGGGTTGGCTGGCTATTATCGGAGATTTATCAAGGATTTCTCTAAGATCGTCGTGCCACTCACCAAGTTGACCCGGAAGGGTGTTGATTTTTCATGGGGTCTGGAGCAGCAGACCTCATTTGATACACTTCGCTAGAGATTGTGTGAAGCCCCGGTGCTCGCACTCCCAGAGGGGATGGAGGATTTTGTGGTGTACTGTGATGCATCGATATCACGGTTGGCGGTGCTTATGCAGAGGGGGAATGTGATAGCATATGCATCGAGGCAGTTGAAACCTCATGAGTCGAGGTATCCCACCCACAATCTGGAGTTGGGAGCAGTGGTGTTCGCCCTCAAGATCTAGCGTCACTGTCTGTATGGGTTCGGTGTACCATATACACGGATCACAAAATCTTGAAGTACCTGATGGATCAGTCCAACCTGAATATGCGCCAGAGAAGATGGTTGGATGTGGTAAAGGATTACGACTGCGAGAGCCTGTATCACCCGGGAAAGTCTAATGTGGTAGCCGATGCCTTGAGCCGTAGGGCGGATAGCACCCCGATACGAGATGTTTGCATGAGATTGACAGTGATAACTCCGGTGTGGGACACGATTCGAGGGGCCCAGGCGGAGGCCGTGAAACCGGAGAACCGCAAAAAGGAGCGAGTGATCGGGCAGGTATCGTAGTTTTTTATCGATAGTCGATGACTTATGACCTTTCAGGGTCGGGTTTGGGTATCGTTTGTGGGCAGAACGCATACCATCTTGATGGAGGAGGCGCATAGATTGAAGTTCTCGATCCACCACGGGGCCACTAAGATGTATTTGGACCTGAAGATGGAGTATTGGTGGCCCTATATGAAAAGGGATGTTGCATGGTTCGTAGAGAGGTGCTTGACCTGTCGCAAGGTTAAGGCCGAGCACCAACGTCCGCATGGTAAGTTGCAGCCGTTAGAGATTCCTGAGTGGAAGTGGGAAGAAATTACCATGGATTCTATCACCAAATTGCCAAGAACTGCTAGGGGTGTCGATGCAGTTTGGTTGATTGTGGACAGGTTAACGAAGAGTGCTCACTTCCTTGCCATCAGTGAGAGCTCTTCCGCGAAGAGGCTGGCAGAGTTGTACATTAGGGAGGTGGTATCGCGGCATGGAGTACCGATCTCGATTGTCTCATATTGAGATGTGCGTTTCACTTCCAGATTTTGGAAGAAATTTCATGAGGAATTGGGTGCGAGGATGCATTTTAGAACCGCATACCACCCACAGACTGACGGACAGAGCGAGCGGATGATTCAGATGCTCGAGGACATGCTTCGGGCATGTGTATTGGATTTCGGCGAGCGTTGGGACACGTATTTTCCCTTGGCTGAGTTTTCCAATAACATCAACCATCATTCGAGTATTGGTATGCCACCCTTTGAGCTGTTGTATGGAAGGAGGTGTTGGACCCCCATTTGTTGGGGTGAGGTAGGGAAACGTGTGATGGGTAGTACAGAGATAGTGCTTCATATGACAGAGCAGATACAGCAGGCCAGACAGAGGTTATTGACCGTTGAGATTCGCCAGAAGAGTTATGTGAATAGGCGAGGATCCGAACTCGAGTTCCAGGTTAGTGATTTCGTGCTCCTGAAGGTATTTCCTTGGAAAGGAGTGTTCCGTTTCAGGAAGATGGGCAAACTGGGGCCCTGGTATATTGGGTCGTTTAGGGTAATCGCAGGGGTGGGCAGAGTAGCATATCGTTTGGAGTTACTTGCGGAGTTGGACCAGATTCATGATACCTTCCACGTGTCGCAGCTGAGGAAGTGTATAGTCGACGAGTCGGCAGTGGTACAATTAGAGGATATCCAGGTGGACGCGAGTCTGAATTATGCTGAGAAGCCGATCGCAATCTTGGATCGGAAGATCAAGGTTCTGAGGAGCAAGGAAGTGCCCGAGGTACAGGTCCAGTGGAAACATCGGAAAGGGTCTGAGCTGACTTGGGAGCTAGAGTCGGAGATGCAGGAGCAGCGTCCGGAGTTGTTTTCGACATGAGACTTCGAGGGCGAAGTATGGTTCTAGTGGGGGAGAATTGTAACAGCCCGAAATTCATTTAAGCTTTATAACCCTTCCATTTTGAGAGTTGGCAAGACGAGTCCTTTAAGGTTGTGTGTTGGTTGTGAGTACGTTGGGCATAATGAGGTGTACACCGCGCGTACTCACGCACTTATTTTGAACACGGACTCACCCGGGTACATTGGGCGTACCGAGGGTTACACTGGGCGTAGTGTGCCCAGATACAAACCCTAAATTATGGCTTATGCACTATAAAAGTAATGTTTAGTCCTTTGCCCCAGCCACCATACCCCCTTGAGTGAGCCCTTAGAGTGCAGAAATTCATGCTTAAGCTTGTGTGTGTGTGTGTGTGTGTGTTCTTGAGCTTGAAGGTACCTTTTTAAGGTGAAGAAGGAGAAGAAGAAGCCATTGTTGGTGCTAGAAGTGGAAGAGCAAGAGTATATCCGAGTTATTCAGTGGTTGGAGGTCCCTTTTGAGGTAAAAAGCTCAAAGCTTTCCTTGTCCTTCAAGATTTTTGCGTATTGGACCCATTTTAGGGTTTTTGGTTCAAAGGTGGAGACTTTGTGTGCAAAGAGTCTCCATAAGCCTAGATATGGCCTTCCCCAGTGTAAAATGTGTTGAGGATTCATAAAAATCCAATCTTGGTCGTGGATATTGAGTCATGCATGAGTTAGGGTCTTAATATGGAAAGAGGAAAGGTGTTTTGAGTGATAGATGATCTTTACAGCCATGCAAGGCTTAAAGGTTTCAACTTTATGGAGTAAGGAACCTTATAGAAGTCAGATCAGGAATATGAGTTCTTGTCTTAACCATTTAAGACAACAATACTCAACATGCCTAAACCAAGATTTACATCGGGCGTAATCCCAGTACACGCAACGTAGGGGGTGGTGCACCCCAATTTTGTGAAGGCACCGGGTATGCCCAACGTACATGCTTGGTATGCGCAGCGTAACCCAGAGGGTTGACTTTTGTTCACTTTTAGGGTTTGGTCAACTTTAGGGTATTTGCGCCATGAGAAGGGTAAAATGGTCTTTTACCCTCCTGAGAGTGCTAAGAGAGGGAATGGTCTAGCCTTGGGAAATGTGTTGATGCCGAGTGTTTATTTCGTATGCTTAGGCGGAGGCTAGATCCAATTTTCACGGAGTCCGAGATTTCCGAGTTACCGAGTTACACGAGGTGAGTCTTCTCACTATACATTACCTAGAGTGGTATTATGAGTTGACCGGAAGGTCTTATGTGCTATGTATGAGATTGTGTGCCATGTATGAGATTATGTGCTACATGATGTATGTATGATATATATAGTTATATAGACCGGAACGGAGGGTCCAACGAGACAGACTTGGCCGGAGGGCCCAACGAGCTATGACCGGACCAGAGGGTCCAACGAGCTACGGGACTGGAGGGTTCCGCTGAGACACATCGACCAGAGGGTCTTACAGTAGCCTCGAGTGGCGTATGTGTAGTATGTGGTATTTTGGCGGACTCACTAAGCATTATGCTTACAGTTGTTGTGTTATGTGTTTCAGGTACTAGCGAGGACCATGGAAAGGCGCCAGCGTGACCCGTACACACAAAGAGGAGATTTGATTTTGTGATCATGGGATATGTTTTAATTTGATAACTATTGTGGAATACTTTTTGAGAATACTTTTATATAAATTTGGTTGTTGAAAAATGAAAATTTTGTTTTGAAAATCTCATCGTTACAGAAGTCACTGAATTTGGTAAGCAGTGGCTGATACCCCATTTCGTCGAACATATGCAGAATTTAATTATTAGAGACCTTGTAAAAAGGAGCAGCGTTAGGGATTTCTAGAATCTCAACAAAGTTCTTCTTGGATAAGTGATACTTCTTCTCATTCATAATCGAAAAAGTCACAGGAGCCAAGGTTTTGTTGTATGTTGTTGTTGAGCCAACAAGAGATAACCAGGAATTTGGTACAACAAAAGAAGAAAACATCACCTTGGATAACAAAGATTGTTGAAGAGAAACGATCAAAACCTTTGACTATTCAGGGTACTGAAACATCATTCTGAACTTGTAGGTTTGTACTCTGAATTTTCATCAAAGGTTGCACGGAGATGTCTTCCGTAGTTTGAGATCGATCAGTAACATTAGCAAGAGTAGCCATGATTATGGTTTGAGAACGATGAAGAAGACAAAGAGCTCTTTTGTAATTTGGGGATATTCAGAAAGTGTAACCGTGATATGTTCCCCTGAAGCCCTTTTTATAGGTGACCATGAGATTTGAATTTGAAGCGGGATCAGCATTAATGATAGCTAACGTGGTACCTAGAAAATTGCACTCATACGCTGATAATATAGCCATGTGTGATAAAGTGGTCATCACGTCTCCCTGAAACCCGAACAAAATACAAAACATCACATCATACAACCTGATAACTTGCCCCAATGGAATAAGAACCGTCAGAAACCTTCGGAATGGAGGTTAGGCTCTTTCACTTTGGGGTTGAAAAGCGAAGTCATATGTCAGACTTGAGAAATCATCAGCCTGAGTTGGTAATCCTTAGAACCTCAATGATTTCGTGAGTGCAGTGTGCCAAGGAAAAAGATAAGAAACAAAATAAGAAATATATGGGTCTGCGATGTCGAAAAATTCAATTTTGACATAAAAGCAGATAAATCTCGGGAAAAGATTACTTCATTAATCATCAAGAGAGATGATCAACTGCTTGTGTGGTTTACCGTGAATTACAATCGAATACTTGTTGATAAGTATCAAAGGGATTCTTTTTGTATGGCTTCGAAGGTAGTTTAATATTTCGTTACAAATGCACTACAAAACATATGAGTGACAATTTGTAAACAAAATTACATGTTTGACCAGTGTATTCAGTGACAACTAGGCTTTGGAAAATATTTTGTAAGTGACAAAGAGAACAGATAATACTCACACGAAAATTATATTCAAGAAAATAAAGTATTAGTTGGATCCTGTTGGGTAACCAATGTCATGGGATTCGAACATTAGATCAAGACCACTCAAAAAATTTAAATATGATTTGGAGTATCGAAAGTTGGTACAGAAACAAATGTTTCGTTAATTCTGGAACAAAGTTCCTCATCAATTCCTTAATCTGGTTCGACATTTAGGGTTTCGCTTTCATCACAGTCTCATGATGTTAGATCATAAACACAGATTTTTGATATGTCTAGATCCAGATTGGTTTATACCAGAAATATCTTGGACATATGTCATTGTGTGTGAAAGTGTAAGAACTTTTGGATGAAAAAGAATTGTTTAAAGATTTGAAAGTACCTCTGCTATTTATGGACCAAGCAGGAAACTTTTAACTCAAATGAGAAGAGTAAGGTAGCTCAAGGACTAATGTGAATATAGCCTGATTCGGAAGAAATTTTCGTAATGAAAACTTCATTAAGGCTTCGAAAACACACATTGAGTCAAATGAGGCTTGGGTCAACATGATGCAGCATGCTTCTAAGGACATCCTAACTAGTACAAAGGTTTTCGAACGTACTGACCCTAGAACTGCAAGCATGAACCATTAATGATCTTTGCTAAAAACTGCATTAACAATGTAAAATATAAATACCAAAAAAACAAGAAAATCTTCTTGTATTTTTTGATTTTTCGAAAATTAAAGACAACAAAAGTAAAATATTTTTTTCTTTTTCATTTTTCAAAAATTGAAAGAGAAAACAAAAGTAAAATCTTTTTGTAATTTTTGATTTTTCGAAAATAAGTTTACACAAGAAAAAAACAAAATTTGAAAACAAGAAAAGTAATTTTACCAAACTTGCGAAGATTTTTCATTTAGCCACCCAGCATGATATTGAAAGCAAAACATGTCGAAGCATTGACGATGAATAGTGATCATTGACTCTGACAACTATCCGCCATTTTCACCTTATCATTCTGTCGAACCGGATCCAGGAACTGAACTTCCTTCAAGCATTCCTAAGCCTACCAAAATTGTCACAAATGATTTTTCATCCAAAGGCTTTGTAAAAATATCAGCAAGCTGATCAGTGGTTTTTACAAAGTGAACTTCAATATTCTCATCTTCGACATGGTCTTTGATAAAATGATAACGAAGAGCAATATGCTTTGTTTTTGAATGTTGCATAGGATTGTGGCAAATGCGTATAACACTTTGTGAGTTGCAATATAAAGGAATTGTCTTCATATTAATTGCATAATCACGTAGTTGGCTTTCAATCCAAATGATTTGAGAAGTGCAAGCTATAGCAGCCACGTATTCTGCTTCTGCCGGCGGAATTGAAACACATGTTTGTTTTTTCGATCGCCAGCTCACAAGCTTCCCATCAAGTAACTGACATCCACCACTTGGCCTTTTATGATCCAAATTGCAACCCCCCAAGTCAGCATCAGAAAATACTTGAATAAAGAATCCGGTTTTCGAATGATACCATAATCCTAACGACATGGTTCCTTTCAAATATCGAAAAATATTCTAGACTATTGTGAGATGTGGTTCTCTTGGATTTGATTGGTACCTGGCACAATTGCACATAGAAAACATGATATCAGGTCGACTAGCTGTAAGGTAAAGTAACAAACCTATCATGCTTATGTACAACGTGATGTCTACAGCAGGTTTGTCTAATGTTGGACTAAGCTTTGTGCCAATCGCCATTGTTACTCTGAGCTTGATGTTATTCATCCTGTCAAATTTCTCAAGAAGATTGCGAGTATACTTCTCTTGATTTTTGAAAAAGCCTTCCCAGCTCTGACAAATACTTAAACCCAAGAAATTGTTTATTTTACACATCATGCTCATTTCGAATTTGCTCTTCATTAAATTTTGAATTCACTAGACAAGCCAGGGTCAGTTGAGCCAAAAATGATATTATCAACATAAATTTGAACAAGCATTAAATGATTCCTAACCTTCTTTTGGAAAAGAGTGGGATCAAAATGATCCTTGTTAAAATTTCGAAAGTTTCAAAAAGTTAGTCAAAGTTGCATACCAGGCCCGTGGTGCATGTTTTAACCCATAAACGGATTTATCTAGGATATAACAATAATCAGGATATTATTCGTTAATAAAACCTGGAGGTTGTTCCACATATACTGTCTCTTCAAGTTTTTTTTTTTGAAAGATTGTATTGTCTCTTCAAGTTCACCATTAAGAAATGCACATTTAACATCCATTTGATAAACGTTGAAATCTTTATGAGCTGCATAGGTTAAAAATATTCGAACAGCCCCGAGTCTTGCGACAGGGGAGAAGGTTTCTTCATACTCTATACCTTCTTGTTGCGAATAACCTTTTACTACAAGCCTAGCTTTATTTCGAACAATATTACCATCTTTGTCTGCTATATTTTTGAAAATCCATTTTAAACCAACAATCGAAACATCTTTTGGTTTAGGAATTAATCTCCAAACCTTGTTTCTTTCGAATTCAACCAATTATGATTGCATTGCAACAACCCAATCTGAGTGTTCCATTGCAGCCTTAACTGGATTTGGTTCAATTTTAGAAATGAAAACATTAAACATGCAAAAATCTTGATGAGTATTTAGTATCTCATTCTTTGCACACAGTTGAACCCTAGTCAACACTCCTTCATGTGAATCTCCTATCACTTGTTCTTTAGGATGGCTTTTAACCCATTTATCCATTGGTGGATATGTTGGATCAAAATGTAATGGCGCATCTTCGAACATTTCTTTAGTTTCGGAACCAACAACAGACATGGTATCATTTAAATCATGAAAAGTTTCATCTTGATTATTATTCGACATATTAAGCTCCCCCTCGAGAATTTTAATTTCATGTTGCTCCCCCTCAACATCATCATCCATTCTTCGATTCTCCCACTCAAAAGAATGCTCCCCCTCAACATGAGACGTCGATTGCAAGTGCTCCACCTCCACTTGATCATTTGGCATACTTTCGCTATTTCCTGAAGAATGAGATGTCGAATTTTGAGCTTTAGAATCTCGAGAAAGCGTCAAAAGATCAGAATATTTTGTTGATTCAGGAATTTGATTATCTATAGCATTAACTTCAGCATCTGCAGCCCTATCTGTAACACCAAAAATTATATCATAATCAAAATCAGATGAATTATAACTATCAATGTCATCTGTTGATTCATTAATAATTGGTTTTTGTTCAAAACACTTGTCAACTTGTTTGATATAATAATCATCGAAAGTTAAGTGGAATGTCTCTTCAATTTTTCGAGTTCGTCTATTTAATACTCGATATGCAACCGAATTGTGACAATAACCCAATAAAATTCCTTCGTTAGCTTTGGACTGAAATTTCGAAAGATTATCCTTGAGATTCATGATAAAACACCTGCAACCAAAAACATGAAATAATTTGACATTAGGTTTTCAGTTATAGATATTCTCATAAGGAGTAATGTTGAATTGATGATGAATAAACAATCCGTTGTGTGTAAAGCACGCAGTTGAGACAGCTTCAGCCCAAAGATATTGAGGAAGGTTTGCAAATATGAGCATCGTTCTTGCTGCTTCACAAAGAGATCGGTTTCGCCTTTTAACAACACCGTTTTGTTGAGGTGTGTAAGGGGAAGAAAAATTATGCGAAATCCCATTGTTAGTTAAACGAATAAAGAACATGATTCTTAAATTCAGATCCGTTATCACTTTTAATTATTCTAACTTTCTTCTTCAAACTAATTTCGATTTTCTTGATAAAATCAATCAATACTTGAGAAGCTTCTGATTTTATCATGAGAAAATAAACCCAAGTAAATCGAGAAAAATCATCAACAATAACCAAAATGTACCATTTCTTATTGAGAGTATCAACAGTTGATGGTCCACAAAGGTCAATGTGAAGTAATTCCAATGGTTCGACAATCTTTGAATCAATGATAATTGGATGACCTTGTCTATGCTTCTTCCCTTGTTCACAAGTTGCACACAAAGTATCATTATCAAACTTTAAAACATGTAAACCTCTTACCAGATCTTGTACCACCAATTTGTTAAGATTTCGAAAGATCAAATGTGAAATCCTACAATGCCAAAGCCAGCTAATATCTGATGAAGCTTTCGAGAGTAAGCATACTGATGGTTTCCCAACAATAGGATTGATGTCGAGAGTAAACATGTCGCCATTTCGCTTTGATTTGAGCAAAACTTCCTATGTCTGAATGTTCGAGATTACATTTCCTTCTTCATTAAACACCACTTGATTTCCAGTTCCCACAACAAGTTGCGAAACAATGATCAAGTTATGTTGAAGACCTTCGACATATGCGACTCTATTGACTATAAAAGTCCCATTGGTTATTTTCCCATAGCCTCGAACATGACATGAGTGGTTGTTTCCAAACTTCACAACCCCATCATTCTATAGAGTTCGATAATCACGAAGATTCTCCTTTCAACCAGTCATGTGACGAGAGCAACCACTATCGATATTATATTGTTCATTGTATTGCTCGTCACACAAAACCTGCAATTAATGAAAGAATTTAGGTCCCCAAGGATGTTTGGGTCCTCGGTTATTAGTTTGAAAAATATGTTGAAATGAAGAACCTTTAATGCAACTACGAACTTGAGACTTGAAGCTATCAACTAAGTCTACTTTAGTAGTCGAAGGCACATAAAAGTAATTATTCTTTGATTTAAAATCAACATTGACATGTTCCTTTTCCTTCGTAACTTGTTTCATAACAACTGTTGTCTTTGGCAGAGCTTTCTACTTTTTAATAGAAACAATCAACACTTGTGAAGATGAACTTACTTTGATGATTCATTCAAATATTTCTCATACTCTTCCTTAATCACTTCTTGTGAGAATTTCAAAGATTGAAATTTCTTTCCTTTTCCTTCCAACCAATGATTAACGTTCTTCATATTTGTTGTTCCTTTAACAAATGAAGATTTGATAGGTTGTTTCGAGGGTGGATTTGGAAATGAAGTGGGAGTAGGCTTGAAAGATTTGAATTTCCGACCTTGTACATGTAACTTCTCAAAGTTTCTCATTGGTTTTCGTGTTGAGACGTGGACACTACTAGAAAAATAGCCTTTTACGACGCTCATTGCGCGTCGTAAATGGCTCAGACGACGCGCAAATGCGCGTCAAGGAAGGCCCTGTCATCAAGAGAGACGACGCGCATTTACGACGCTCATTTACGATGCACAATTACGACGCACCTTTACGACACGCAATGCGTATCAAGGAAGGCCTTGTCATAAAGGAAGACAACACGCATTCGCGTGTCGTAACCTTACGACGCGCGTGTTAATGACACGCAATGCGTATCAAGAAAGCCCCTGTCAAGAAAGGTCATGTCATAAATGAAGATGACACACATTTTTGCGTATCATAATTTTAAATGTTTAAAAAAAATATTTTTTTATAGATTTACTAATTTTCAGATTAAATTTGCATTTAATGCATCATAATAGAAAATAAAATATCATATACAAAAAATATAATCCATTTCATAAAATTTAATGTCATACAAAAATAGAATCCATTGCCTAATATTTTATTACAAATTTGACATTTTTTTGTTTCCGTACTTTGACAATTTGTGTTGCTGCTGATTCCGGAGCCAATCCGCAACTGCATTCTAGAGCTGATTCAGTGGAAAGAGCATCCCAGACTCCATCACTTGAAATTACAAGCCGCCCAAAAGCAGAAGATAGCTGAAGATCATGAATAAATAAAAGTTGTTAATAAAAAGAGGAATAAATTGAGTTTAATTACTAAACACCAACATTCAAACCAATTAATGAAAGTTAAAGCATCTAAATAATATAGCATGGGATGCAAATATATCATGCATCGTACAAACAATGAAGATTTTTAGTTTCTGGAAGATTATTCACATCATTGGGATTAAGAGTTTTATTTGATTATCCACTGCACCTCATATGTTTCCATCACATTTGAAGGATTATAATGCTACATAGCTCTATTAAAGATGTTGCAATATCTCTCTATTGTTATGCATGAAATCAAGACATGTGATCTTCTAATACTAGAAAACAAGAGCTATTCGGAATAATAAAGCTACATACCTGAGTTTGCTAGAGGTATCGCAAGGTGCTACCGACTCATCCATGAGTTTTTTCACTAAGCCTACCTCTTTGCTGCATTGATTTAGATTGGAAGTTGATGAGGTGAACAAAGTTATGTTAAAGATTTGACATTAAAATAGAAAACTTGGGAAGAATTTATCACATGTGGAAAGGTCTCAAATAACCATTCAAATCTAAACTTTCAGATGCATATATAAACTTTAAGTTACAAAAAGGGTCCATGTGCTTTCTGATTTTACAGTGTTTAGTCTAAATTTGACAACTTTTTCAACTTCAGTCCTTATATTTCAAGCTCTCATATTGATTTTGGTTCTTAAAACCTTGAAATAAGGACCAAAATCGATATGAAAACTTAAGATAAGGACCGAAACTGAAAAAGAATTTAATTTTGGACTAAACGTGGTCAAAACAGGAGGCATAGGGACCATTTTTTTAATTTACAATAAAATCAAATTATTGGTTACCTCTGGGAAATATATGCGAAGATGATTGAGCAAGGATATGTATTTAGGGATTCTAGCTTGTAATTTTGAGGCAAATGATCTTGGATTAACAGTATCACCAACATTGGTGCCTGATATATGATTTCCATGATAGTAATTACGAATTCCATTATGATTTTCAACGGCTTCAAGAACAGGAACATTGTCTTAGGTCAAACAGTCAAACTGATGAACACCTTTGACTTCAATAATGGAAGGTGAGATGGGGTTTAAGGCAAACCATGAGTGCATGCCTACGTATGTTTTCTTATCAGTGATGACATGGAAAATAATATTCTCAGGTGTTAGAGATGACTGGACTGTAGAAGTGACCACAACAGTAGCTGCCAAGATGTTGTCAGTTGAAAGGATAAAATGGTAATATGAGTTGTCAGAAAGGTGTTAAACAATAATGGTGGAACTTATTCAATTCAAAAATACGTCAATGTTGTCAACAGCCAAAATACAAACACATGTGATAAGCATTTGCACAAAACACAATCAAAATTACAACTTGAAGAAATTTTATTTTAGACCAACAGAAAAATGAAATATCAAAATTACCAATGAAACCCTGTATGATGATACAGATTCCCTAAGAGAATGAGCCCCTTCTTCCTGATACCAAGATCCATCTCTGCATCATATGGAAGATTTTTGTCAGATAATGATCATTTATTGGAAAAATTACATAATAGAAGAAAGATTATGAAGATATCAGATATAGATCTATATCTGATATCTTCTTAATCTTTCTTCTATTATGTAATTTTTCCAATAAATGATCATTATCTGAAAAAAAATCTTTAATAATGCTGAAAAATAGAAATACAATAAAATATATATTATTATAAAATATATTTTAGTATCCAGATTCCAGACTACAAAATTTACAAATCAAAATTAATAGTAAACAATAAAACATGAAAGCGAGAAACCTGTGATAATCAAGCATGACACCAAGCATAGTTGTCTTTAGACAGTCCCTAATTAACCTTCCTTGTAAGTGCGATTGTATGTTGTATAGAATTGTCTTCAAGGAGTTGGACGTTCATCTAAGTGTTGCAAATAACCAAATGTAAAAAAGAAACGCAGATTAGGGTCTGCAGTAACACAAACAAAATGAAACACGAATATATCAATAAAGAGTAAAATTCTGAAAATTTAGGGCAAAACCAACTATTGCCTTCTGTTCCTTCTTGTATCTTTAAAATTTTGAAGAGTGAATCGATTGCATGGCGAGGTTGATTAGGGTTCGAGTTTTCTCTTTCACATTACAATTTCTTCTTCTTCTTCTTCTTCTTCTTCTTCTTCTGTTAGACTCTTTTCCTGATTGAGAAAACATACATTTATAAATGGATGGTTTATTTATATCCACATATGTTCAAATGTAAAATTACTAACACGCCCCTTCGGGTGGTCATTTGTCCCTTCTAGATGGGTATCAGTATCAGGCTGCAATTGGAGATTGCAAGAAATAAATCAACAGTTTATTGAGAAATAAGTTTGAACAAATAATTTGTTTACCTTTTGTGAAATTTTAGTAAGTTCTCGCTTCCATTGTCTCTTAGCCTTTTTCCTTCTAGCACTTCTACTAGAGCCCTAAGGATTCATACCAAAAGTTATTTATGGTTTTGTATGATTAACATTTAACAAGCAGATAAAAATGTTGTATTTGTTTAACTAAGCATGAAAAGACCTTTTTATCCCCATCAGGTGTAGTAGAGGCTTGTTCAATTCCTTGGACATTGTCTTCTAGATATTCTTCACTCCTACATAAATTAGACGGATGGAGAATTATTCCTACATAATTGTAACACTAGTCTATATACATATACATGGCATCAAGATTACAAATTACCTCTTTGTCCTTCAAGAAGATTTAACCTTTTTGTCACTTGTTTCAGCATCTCCCATGTTAGCTTCCTCATTTGGTTTAATCTTCTTCTTGCTAATGGTTTTACTTTTATCATCATCAATGTTGCAAATTTCATCTCTAACTTTACCTTCATCACCACTCATCACCCTGTGTTTCTTCTTCCTATGAAACCTAAAGAGAGCCCAAGAACAAATTTAATAGAGAAAAAGTAACAAGAAAACTTATATGTATATATGTATATACATATTATGAATTACCTCTTCAACTTGGGAGGAGATTTAACCTCTACAAGGATTGTTTCAACACCCCCTTCTCCTTGTGTGGTTTAATGATTTTCATGGGACAAAATTTGTCATTATTAATGTTGTTTTCCTCTGTCACAACTTCATCTTCAACAACATCCATCACTGTTCGGTGTTTCTTCTTCCCATGTTTCACAAAAGCAAACTCATGTAACACAAAAACGAATAAAATTGAAAGTCAACTTTATCATAAATATAACACAAAAACGAAATGTACATTAGATTGCATGACTTACTTTGAGCTCCTAGATGTTTTAAAGGCTTTTATTTTCTTGGAAGTTGTTTGTATAGGTGAAGGTTCATCTTCCAACTTTTCATCTTTAGCATCCTCAGATTCACTTTGGTATCCTCCAGTTTCCTAATCAAACTCTTCATTTTCCAGAAGTAACATGCCATTATGTACAGGTTCTTTCCTGTTGACTTCTGGATAGTCAAGTAAATTACCAGCATCTGCCCCCTGTATTGCTTCAACCAAAACCATTTCTTTTCTTTTCACACTGAAGTAACAAACAAACATATGTCCACTTGTTAAAGAACTAGTTACATGTTTGTATGAAGAAAGTAGTAAAAAGTTCAAAATTAAGCTGACCAAATTATTTCCTTGTCCTTCAAGATTCGAGTTGACTCAAATGGGGGCAATACAAAGTCGTCCATCTGCAAGAGGTAGAAAATAGAAATTATTTCCTTGTCCTTGTGGTTGTTCCATTTTCACTGCTTCTAATTTATCTTGTACTTCTTGAAACATTCCATAAAATATTTATTAGCTTATTCTTTTACAATAAGAAGGGTATTTTCGTCTCTTTAACAGCAAAATGGTGAAAACATGTATACCTTAAGGGATAATTCATGCCCTGAATCTACATAACAGATGAGGGATTAACTGTCTGTGAAATTATACCAAGCATGTTAGCAAAGTAAACCCTAACAAACAAATAAATCTAAAGATAATGAAAAAAGAAGAAGCCAAAAACCGGATTCGTGTTCTGTGAGTTTGAAAGGAGACGCTGAATGAATTGTGAAATAGCTGGACTTTGCATAAGCTGACTCATTGCAATGGGATCAGGGGTAAAACCTATCATTCGTTCTAGACGATTCCTTAATCCGATATCGCTTCACCTCGAGGTCCTCATCTTCCTGATTTGATTTGGGAGACATGTATTCAACAAGAGTTGATGAAGAATTAGTCGATTTGGAAGGAGGAAGAGCGAATATCCTTGTTCTTCCTGAAGACGCCGATATAAAAGCCCTTGTTCTTGGGTCTGCCCTTGTGAGGTCGGGAGCATAAAGCCCTAGTTTTTCCTTGATATCGGGGACAAAAGGCCTTAAAATCATCGGCGATGTGAGTGTGAGGAGTCGTAGATCTTCAACCGTTGGCTCTATGAAAGATTTTGTGAGGTCTGATTTTTGGGTAAGGTTGGGTTGGGAATCGGTAATTCGATGTTATAGAAGGGATATAGCGGTGTTGGTGCTGAAGGGTCGCATGAAAATGGAGGTGGGGTGACTCCGCCGAGACAATGATCGTTATCATCGTGATCACGAAAGCAAGAGCAATTCTGGTATGAATAGAAGGCCTAGGGATTTTTCTTCCTAATTGGAAGAGGCGGGGGGTTTAATTTTTGGGATTCAATAGGCGGGTGAAATCCCGCGTTAAAAACGCGTGTTTCATTAAAATGTTATAAAGCGACACATTCAGACGACGTACATTTTATGAAAGGCGCCCTCCGCGTTTCCTTTTTTTCTTTTCTGACACTAATTTTAGGGCACGCACAAATGCGTGTTATCTATCCTTCAAATTTTGCAAAACTAACATTATTTTTTAGGGCACTCCCAAATGCGCATCCTCTATCAGCGAGTGTCATTGTTTGCGCGTCATTAAAGGGCTATTTTCTAGTAGTGGGAATAAAACGATTTTGATAACCAACATTTTTCCTTTGGAAAACAGATTTTGGTTTCATAGATTGTTTTAGATGAGAAACTTGAAGACAATTTGTTTGAACATTCGAAGTAAAAACTTTTCTTTGAAAATGATTTGAAGAAAACATTTGATTGGATTGATTTTTATGAAAAGGCTTGGTTTTCACATAACTCTCATGCAAAAATGTTTGAGCTTGAGAATTGGAGATGGATTTTTGAGAAAACGAATTCTTTGATTTTGAAACAGACTCCTTTTTAACAAAAGACTCTTTTCGAGATGTTTGAGGAAACGAATGTGTTGATTTGGAATCATGATTTGGCTTATTTATTTGTTTCATTTCTAAAGATGTTTGAACATATTGAGACTTTTTCGGTTCGAGGAGATGAAGAAGACTAGGTATCATTCCATGTTGAGAGATGATACTCGTGAGTTTGTGAGTTTTTTGGGGTGCAATACCCTGAATGAGATGGTGGAGAAGGCCTAGGAACAGGAGATTGATGTGGAGCTCTGCATAAAGCGAAAGATAGAGCAGGTTCAAGTAGCAGTAGGTCAGGCCAAGAAGCCTAAGACCTCTGATCCTCCTAGCAAGGGCCAGCAGGGTCGTGGCCATTGTGCCAAGTGCGGTAAGCCGCACAGTGGAGCCTGCCGACTTGCAGGCTCAGGATGTTACACTTGTGGCAGTCGAGTCACATGAGCCAGGATTGCCCCAAGAAGGGCTTGATTTGTTTCCACTTCAACTAGACCGGTCATAAGAAGGTCGACTGTCTGAGGTTGGTTAGGGGAGGAGGAGCTGTGGCAATGCCTACGCCCGCCATGATGAGGATTACACATGGCCTCCTGATCAAGGCAGAGGCTCCTGCGGTGAACAACCGTGCATTTCAGTTGACTATTGAGGATGCCCGAGCAGCGCCAGACGTCATAACTGGTATGTGATTTCTTTTGTCTATTTTATTTTATTTTTATTCTTATGTTATTTTGATCTTGTTTCGGGATGCTCTGGGGACCTTGGATTCCCCACTTGAGGTGGAGATTACGGATAACCGCATCGTAAGTGTTGCGAGGGTTTATCAGAGGAGCGTTCTGAATGTGTTCAAGGAGAGGTTTCCTATTGATTTGGTTTCGATTCCTTTGCGGGGATTGAATGTGATCATCGGGATGGATTTGTTGGGGCCCAACGGGGCCATGATAGACTGCGAGCATCAGCTAGTGAGAGTTTGAACCCCAAGTCGGGGAGAACTTATTATTCATGGAGAGAGATCCTTGGATGGTCCAACTCTCTGTTCGGCTGCAAGGGCTAGGAGGATTCTCCAGCAGGGTTGCTCTGGATTCTTAGCTTATGTTTCCGACACGAGGGTCAAGACTACGTCAGATTTGAGCAGTGTTTCAGTTGTGCGAGAGTTTCCCGACGTATTTCTGGAGGAGTTGCCAGGGATACCTCCAGAGAGGCAAGTGGAATTCCGTATTGATTTAGTGCCTGGTGCGACTCCAATAGCCAAGACACCGTACCGTCTAGCTCCGCTCGAGATGCAGGAGTTGTCTATGCAACTTCAGGAGCTGCTAGACGGGGGATTTATTCGCCCGAGCAGTTCCCCGTGGGGAGCACCGATTCTGCTTGTGAAAAAGAAGGATGGGTCACACAGGATATGTATCGATTATCGGGAGATGAACAAGCTAACGGTGAAGAACTGTTATCTGCTTCGTAGGATTGATGATTTGTTCGATCAGCTCCAGGGTGCATCTTGGTTTTCCAAGATTGATCTTCGGTCGGGATATCACCAAATGAGGATATAATGAAGACGTACTTTAGGACTCGTTATGGTCATTATGAATTCGTGGTGATGTCATTCGGGCTCACCAATGCTCTAGTGGCATTCATGTATCTCATGAATCAGGTTTGTAGACCGATGTTGGATCGGTGTGCGATAGTCTTCATCGATGATATTTTGGTCTATTCTAAGACCAAGGAGCAGCATGAGCAGCATTTGAGACAGGTATTAGAGACCTTGAGGATGGAGTGGCTATACGCCAAATTCTCAAAATGTGATTTTTGGTTGCGTGAGGTGCAATTTTTGGGGCACATCATCAATCATGGAGGGTATTCTAGTTGATCCGGCCAAAATCGAGGCGATAATACGTTGGAAGGTTCCGAAGAACGCATCCGAGATCCGGAGTTTCTTGGGTCTAGTGGAGTACTGTCAGAGATTTATTTATGATTTCTCCAAGATCGTCGTACCCTTGATCCGATTGACCAAGAAAAGCATGACCTTTTGGTGCGTTCCAGATCAGCAGTCGGCATTCGAGACCTTGAGGCAAAGATTATGTGAGGCCCCGATTTTAGCACTACCCGATGGATTGGATGACTTTTGTAGTGTATTGTTGATGAGGTCTCGACTCTGAATCTCGAATCTAACCATCACATATCCAACCAATTGACCAATCACAATCAAATTCCCAAAATACCCAAAATGCCCTAAGGTCAAACTTGGTCAAAGTCAAACTGGTCAAATCAACTGAGTCAACTAAGTCAACCTAGCCGAGTCACCATAGAGTTAGTACGCGGGGCGTACTCCAAATGTACGTTGGGGGTACTCGTATGCTGACCACAATCGGGGTGGTTGACCTCGTACGCAGGGCGTACTCCCAGAAGCCTAAAAATCTCAATAAGTGCTTAATGGCTTAAGCTCTCACGTCCATCTTTCATATCCATGGCTAAAATACTCTCAAGAGTCATAAAGTTTCTAACTTTATGACTTTGCATGTCCATTAAGTGCTTAACTCAACTTCTTAATCCAATAAGACCTTCTAAGTGATGCATGGAGCAAAACCAACCAGTTGAAACCCATTTTTATGACTCAAGACCCTTCCAAAGGTCTGAAAGGATAGCTTAATGGGTCAATAACATGTTATGTTCATGAATCATCATTTTGGGACCAAAAAGTGACTTAAAAGAGCAAAAACCTAGATCTACAAGATGGAGTGATAAAGATGAAAGCTTTATACCTTTTAGAGGTTGCAAACAAGCCAGAAATCCTAGATCCAAAATGCACTCAACTCCAAGATCTTCTCACCACCTTCTTCTTTCTTCAAAACCACTCCAAAACTCTCTTAAAGGATCAAATTTGCTCTTTCTTTCTCTAGGGTTTCTTGAGGGTCGATATCACATAAGGAGGCTAGATAAGGATGAAATGTGAGGCCTTAAGGATGCTTAAATATGAGCCAAAACCCTAAAATTAGGGTTTTCATGCTTTTCCACATACACCCTACATACTAAGGCATGCCTTAGTAAGCTTATCATGCACACGTACGCATAGTGTACTCCTCTAGTCCCAATTTTACCAAAATGTCATTATGGGTCCTTTCACACTCTTTCATACACTTAGGGATCAAAATGCAATATAATTCAATTATAGGGTCAAGTTTAGAAGTATCTCATCATCGGGATGTTACATATTCCCTCACTTATACCAATCACCTAATTCACAAATCGGTTAAATAATGGTGGTACCTTAGTTTTCTCCAAGAATAAGATGTTTTCGGCTTCAGTTTCATGTATCTTAATAGCAGAAAATAAGATTATTTGTGATTTCTTTCTCCCAACTCGAATTAGGACTTCCAAGGCAAAATAACATCCTGAAGAAAAAAAAAAGTTTAGAGTCCTCCCTAATTCCTTGGTATGTTGATTTTGACCATTTTTCTGCAAATGGGGTTTTTTTTATTTTCAAATTGACCGCGAATTTTGAAGATGAGTTTGCAGCTGCTAAAGAGGAGGTTTCATGTCCTTACGTGTAACCCAGAAGGACTTTATTATTATTATTATTATTATTATAACCAACTATTATGAATGTGGAGAGTATTTCCAACAACTGGAATCATTATAGCTAATGTTTTTTTATTCACCTGATGTAATGTAGTTGGTATTGTTATTGAATAAAATTTGTATTAGCATTAAATATAATTGGTATTGTACTATCATAGTTACTAATATCAATAGTACAATGCTATTACCAAAACCAAGACAAGTAATACATGATTCCAATGTTCAGATAAGCCACGTATGAGAGCACCTCATTAATTATTGTCTCATGTAGGATGTCACGTGAGCAAAACCTGAAGAAACCCTTCATAAGGACCGAATATATACAAAAAACAACAAAGATTTATGTTGCAAAAAAAACTACATTAAGAGTTAAATTTGTACAAACTGAGAGCTTAACATGTAGTACTCAGTCATAATGATTGAATGTGGACAAAAACAATAAGTTAAAGGCCTTATTTTACAAACAAAAAAAACCAATGAGGAATAAACATGTACAAAACGAGAACTATGTTACCCTTATAGTTCTTTTTCCATTAAACCACATCCCCATCAACACCAAGGACCCAAGGATGACGTTGGAAATCATCACCACCCACTATCATCATGACAGTGGTGGCCGTGGGTGGTGATGATTACATTTTCAATTAAAAACAAGAGGGTGGAACAAGGGAAAACGAAAATGGAATACCTTTATGGAGAATCCGTTCCAAAAACACCCTAGGTCGAGCCTTCCTCCTTCACTTTTTCTACTTCCCCACAGCTAGAAGAGGTTACGATGGTGGTAGCGTCTTTTCTGGTGAGCAGTGGTTCGGGGTGGCGGCAGGAGTGGTGAAGCAAAAGAGAAAATAGAGGGAAGGGTTTAGGGTTTGGTTAATCTTAGTTACTACGATCGACAAGGAGGGAAACAGGAGGATGGGAGTCTGACTCATACAAAAAATCACACAAAAGCACCATCTTTTATCAACTTGGCAAGAATAGTCCCCATCTCCTAAATTGTTGCAAAAATACTTTCAAGATGTGACTAAAACCACCCCTACACACCAAAAGTCTTACCTTCAAAGGTTTCTAACTTCACAACTTCAGGTGCTCATCTAAAAAAGAATACCAAACCTCTAAATATTCATTTCTTAGTTGGTATTGTTGTTGTTGTTGTTGTTGTTGTTGTTGTTGTTGTTCACTTTAAATTTAAAAAAAATGTTTCCTTTCTAGAATTATAAAATACGGCCAAAATAAATTAACGAGAAACAGGGTGTTACAATCTAAGAGCTTGCCTCAAAAAAATTAGATGTTTTTTTTGTCATTATCACTTTCGAATCCACAAATATATCGACTCAGTCATATGTCAATGCTTCCACTTCTTTCCGTTCCCAATGTCTATTCGAGGCCTCTCCTTTTCTTTTAGCTTCCACGCGGGGTTGACTTTCTGGAACTAATTTCGACTTGAGTTTCCAGAACAAATTTAGGTTGACTTTGTGAAACAAAATCAAAAGGACTGAATCGACTTAGGAATAGGTTTGTAGATGGGGTTGATTTTGTGGTGGAATAATCCGTGTTGCATGGGATAGTTACCATAATACGGTATCATACCAAAATAATGGTAGATAGAAAATGTACGAATTGGTTGGACAATTTAAAGTTGATAGAGGGATGAAGTGGTTGGAACGTTGTAGGTGTTTTTTTTTTGTTGTTTGGAGATTTTAAAGAATAAATTGTTTTAACTAGTATAGAGAGATTGAAGTGATGAGTTTTGTTGCGGTAAAATTGGATGATGAAGAAAGAAGATTGTGACATGTATTCGCCATGTTCACTTCAAGTCGTGGAGACAAGTCGGTGTGCATCAAAGCCACCATGGCAAACCATGGTGCTTACCACAACCACAAGCACTACGTTTAGCCTATTCTTCACGTAGAGACTTGTGCTATAAAAGAGATAGTCTTAGATTGTGTGGGTGTATAACTTAATCATGGAATCTTAATGTGATGATGTCGTATAACGAAAGTCATGAGGTGCTTGTTTTATTTAATGGATTTGATGAAAATATGATTTAATATGGTATCTATATAATTATATATCTCTTTTATTCAATAACAAAAATGTTTTAATGGTAGTCAGCGGGTGTTCGGGATTTCTTTTTAATTGATTTTTTGATTTTTGACTTTTCCAAAATGTTAAAAATTCTAAAAGATATTCAACATTTACAAAATGTCTTTCGAAATTAATTTTTTTGCAAGAATGAGTTGGTGGTTATTCAAAAGACAATTTATGACTTTTTGTGATTTTTATCTTTTTACAAAATAAATTATCTTCAAAAAATCAAAAAGTTAAAAAAATATTAGGCAAACACTTTTTAAAATTAATTATTGACTTTTGCCCTTGAAAATTAAAATCAAAAAGTTCTTTTACAAAAAAATAATAATAAATAAATAAAATAACTTTTCACCTTAAAAAAATCCAAACACCTCCCAAAATATAGTTTTTTCATCAAATTATATTTATTTTTAAAATATATCCTCTTTTGATTTTTTTTATTTTCTTGGAAACGGCAAATGAATTAACAGAGCCTACACGTACTTTTTAAACGTGCACCCCAGGTTCGAGCTCCGTAAAACGGGCAAACCCAACCCCTGACGGGATTTCCAAAGAAAATTCTCTCACAATAAGCAATTAAAGAGGATTTATGAAGTACCCAAAGATTCGAACATCCAACCACCCCACTCGGGGCTATAAATTAAATCATTTTCTATTTTTCAATAAATGATTCAAACTCGGTCCTCTATTCCATTTCGGATCATGTTTCTATTCCATTTTTAACCCGCTTCATTTCACAATCCGGGTCTTCACCGACGACGACACCACCACCGCTTCCGTCCTCCTCCGTGGCCACTACTCAGCCGTCTAAAAATCCCCTCCGGCTTTACATAATCAGTCACAGATAAGAAACCACTCCCTTACATGCTCACATTCAATTCATAACCTAATTGAATGTTGCCGATAAACCCTAATCCCATCTTCACCAAACCCCCAACTACCACCTACCTAACACCTCCCCCAACCCTCCTCCGCACCCGCGCTGCCTCCGATAACCTCAATTGGTCCTTCAGTTTCTCCGCCGCAGCTGACTCCACAGGAAAACTCAATAACAATGACTTCATTAGCCCTCCAACGGCTGTGGAGAAGAAGCGTACTCGTAACCTAGGTAACGATAGTAATTATAGCAGTGCAACCAAAGTTAACGCGAAGGAGAGATGGTCGCGTGATCGTGAGAGTTACTTGACTGATGACGACGACCCGCTGCCTCTCCCGATGACGTATCCAGACACATCACCTGTATCGCCTGATGTTATCGATCGGAGGTTACGCTGCGATCCATTGATTGAGGTTTGTTTTCTGTTCTCGATAAGATTTGGAGCTTCTTTTCATGGCTATCTGGTTTTGCATCTGATGATACACGATATCAACAAGAAATCTGTCATTTTGTGTGTCGAATTCTGCTTATGAATCTGTTAGATGGTACATTCATTGATTTTTTTAACTCCATAACCAGTCATATCGCCCTTCCAGCATATGCATTGTGAAGAACAGTCTTCATTCCAAAATCAAAATCATATCTTGTTAGCTGTATCTTTGCAAGGATCTTCATATCTTAATTTGGTACTAATTTCTGCAAGATTTATGTAGGATTGTAAGGAAGTAGTTTACGAATGGACTGGAAGATGTAGAAGTTGTCAAGGATCAGGATACGCGAGTTATTACAACAAAAGGGGAAGGGAAGTCACCTGCAAATGTATACCATGCCAAGGAATAGGTAATGTTACTATGTAATCACTAATTCCATTACCTTTCTTAACACATTACACTATCAATTCCATTCCTTTTGTCATTCCATTCCATCAAGAAAGTTTGAATATGGATTCTTTTATGATACAGGTTATGTCCAGAAGATCACAGCACGCAAGGATATTGATGTAATGGAAGATTTGGAGAACGGAAAACCACCTTGACACCACCCACAAAAGTTTATATAATTATTGTTTTATAATTCCGGTTTTGTTGTAATTCTTGTCAATTTATGGTGTACTTACAGATGGTGGTAGAATAGAACGAGAGCATACATTTGTTTCGAAATTAGTTAAATAATAAATTATTTTTTATAGGCTTTTAATGTTTGATGTATTTACTATTTACAAAAAACCTTCCATTTTCCATTTAGTGAACATGTCATTTGTCATATTTTTTTTATTAATAACTTAAGTTAACTGCATTTTGTCTTGACTTTATTAAAATGTAGTTATTAAACCATAAAAAATGCGCAAAACATAATGCCATAATGGCTTTTAAGCAAGTGTTATAACAAATAGTTAAAGCAAGTGTTATAACCAATATATGCCAGCAATATAACCAATTTGTTATTAGATATACCAGTTTATGCATATGATAAATTGGTAGATTTCTAGTAACAGATTAAAACATGATTGTACAAGAGGAAAATCAACCATTAACAATGACTTAAATATAACAAAGTATGCTAAAACCCAAATATCATATCATTTTAGCCACAATAATACTAACCAATACTAGAAAAAAGAAAAAAGAAAAAAAGAAAAACATAGCTTTAAATTAACCAGGTGAATCAGAAGTTGATAACCCTACCAATAATCCCCACAAGAACACTTCCCTTCTTTAAAATGATGAAACCTTTTATTATCTCTAACAATCAATTCCCTCCCCACAATCCTCGACATAATCTTGATAGCATTATGACAATCACCACAAACACGAAGATTCTTTATAATCCTTAGAGGTGTTCTTGCAGGAGTAGAAATTAATCCATAAGCAATTGCCAATCTTTCACTATGATAAAGTAAAGCCTGTTCTTTAGCTTCTTGATCAATATCATGAAGAACATACCTGGTATCTGGAACATAACTCTGTTCTTTATTTGCAGCCCTAAACTTTTCTTCATCTTTGTATAAACTAGGGTTTCTAAACTCACCCACCCTGTTCTTACCTTCAAGCATGTTAATGGCAGAAAATTTCTTCGGAAGTGGTGTTGGAATCTTTTTGGGGTCAATCTTTGATGGATCAAGATTGATTAATATCTCTTCAGCTCTGTCTTCAAGATCAATATCTCCATGGATTCGAGCATAGTTCATTACAGCTTCCCAGATTTCTGATGTGGGTTCAAATGGTAATGTCTGGATGTAATCCAAAGCTTGATCAAGGTGTCCAGATTTCCCAAAAATGGCTAAAACCCCTAAATAATGTTCGATTTTGGGGGAAATTCCGTATTCTTTTTGCATTGATTCAAAGTGTATGAATCCTTCTTCAATGGCTTCAGCACCTGCACAAGATTCAAGAACAGCAAGGAAGGTTTCTTCGTTTGGTTGTAATCCATGGTTTCTCATCTGTTCAAACATTTCTAATCCATCATCTCCTAATCCATTTGAGGCGTACCCGTTTATGATCAGATGCCAAGTGTCCATGGTTTTGTCAGACATATGATCAAACACTCGGCGTGCATCCACCATGCTTCCACACTTGCTGTACATGTCGATTACTTTGTGAGTCAATTGGATTTCACCTCTGTAACTCGATCTCAAGAAGTAATCATGGACTTTTTTAGCATCCTCAAGCTTGTTGAATTTCCCACATAACGCAAATAGAGCATTAAAGCACTCAGCATCTGCAAGTTGACCCTCGTCCATTAGTTCAATGGCTTCCTTAAGCTTTCCCTCTCTGCATATCTTTAACAAATCAACTTTCGCACCGGAAGCATGACTACTAGCTCTCTGTACTTGATCATTATTCTTAGCAATAGGGCTTCGTGGTATATGGGTTTCGCTAGGATTAGGCTTTTGGGGCGAGTAATTAGACGGTTGATGTTGTTGGAAATTCTGTCTCTGAATTGGGGGTTGTGGAGGATAATTCTGACTCTGAATTGGGGGCTGTGGAGGATAATTCTGACGTTGATTGGTGTTCGTCTGGTAAAAGCTTTGTCTCCCATCATTTGAGGGATAATTTTGACGTTGATAAGGGTTCTCCTGGTTAAAATTTTGCTGCCCCGCAACCGGTGGGTAATTCTGGCGCTGATTAGGGTACTCCTGGTGATAATTTTTCTGCCCGACATTTGGAGGATAATTCTGACGCTGATTAGGGTTCTCCGGATAGAAGTTCTGCTGCGCAGGATTTGGTTGATTCGGATACCTCTGATTCCCATTATCCCATTGATTGAGGTTCCCTTGTTGATGATTGTGTTGTAGGTTCCATGGATTAGTGTTTATTTGATCATTCGGGGGTGAATCGAAGCTGTTTGGGGCGGTCGATGTAGAGAGGGTTTTGAGGGAGTTGCGGATGAAAATGGAATGAGAAGAGCGTATACAAGTTACCTTGAATGAAGAAGTGAGAGTGCCTCTGCGAATCGCCATTAGAGACGCCATTTTTCTGGGTTTTGAATGAAGTCGTTAAACCCTAACGTGGTTTATGAACGAAGTAGTGAAGTGAGCAGAGAGACGAATAAAACCACTTGGGCTCACGGAAACGGACCCTCTTATCGGGTCGGGTTATAGAATCTACTGTAACCGTCCCTCTACTATTTGTCAAACATCAATTTAAACTTTGTATCAATTTCGTAGTATTTAATATGATAGAATTGAAAAGAACTAGAATGATTCATTCCATTCTTCATTAAAGGGTTGTTTTTTGTTTTTATTTCTTTTTTTTTTTAAAGAGATTTTTTTTTTTTAATTTCATAATGGAATGGGATGAATATACTACTTAATCCATATTTACGTATATATATATATAACTTTTACGTACATACATTTTAATTTTAATTTCGTAATGTTAATTCAATTATAACTTTCTTAAGAAAAAATATTTGTGTGTTATAACTAGAGTTTAAATAAAAATCGAAAATCAATCTGATTTCATGTCAAGAAGGTTAAAGGTCGGGAGATCATTGTCAGGTCAACGACTAGACAACTCATCTTCTTATACGTTTTTTCAGTTAATCGTCATAAAGAAGTATGACATTGTAGAAGCCTTTTCCAGTGCCAAGGATTTATGGCAGGGACATCACAATATATACGAATGGTTTATGACATGTGTTCAAATTGTCATTAGGTACACAACCTTTTTCCGGTGGAAATTTGTCTTCATCAATGATCAACTATGAGCTTATACATCTTGGCTTTGATTATAGGTGGTATTTTTTTTCAAAATTCGGATGGGTATCATGGTGTATGTTTTTTTTGTCGTTGCTATTATGTTGGTGGCAAAGATTATCACTAAGTTGAATGTTATGTTGGATACTCGGAGGGCTTGATCTGCACAACTAAGATGGAATATCTAATATGCAATTTTTAGTGGTGAGCAAAATGATAAATAAGTATAAATATGTATATGCAAGCAAGTAGTATAACCAACGAAGATTTTCAAGTACTTTGGGTCTATAATTCGTTAGGAAAGGGGATCTGGAGGAGGACGTTAACCATTGCACAAACGTGACATGGTTAAAGTGGATGAAGGCCATAGAAGAAGCACTAACATTGTGTGAAACTGAAGAGAAAACTTTATATGTGACAGTAAAGCCAACTCTGATATATGGATCAAAATGTTGGTTGTTTATGAAGGTAGTGGAGTAATTTACGCCCTATTTTATTCTATATTTTTGTGGTTGTCGTACGACATTTAAATTCTTAAACCCGTCCACCCACCGACCCAATTTATACCATTGTGGCTCTGATTTGTTTTCTATAGAAATAATCTCTCCAATTACCTTCAATATTCCATTCCATCCAACAAAACAAACCATTAAAACATGATTTAGCATGTTTCTGTGGGTAAATCCTAACTGTAAAAAGGTACACATAGAGGTGAGTTCACTTCATCATAAATTATGTACAACAAATCATGTGGAATTTTATACAACTTCAAGCTTTCATGAAATGTTCAAACTTATGAATACATTATACCTACAAAAACCCCCATTAGAATTACAACTTTACAAAGCTACCCAAAAGAGCCACTAATACACACTTCAAATGAATTATCACCACCACCACCTATTATGTACACATCAACCCTAAATGACTCTTGCACCCACCATTTCCACGACACAATCTCCACGCAGTCAAAGGGCACTCAAGTAAATTCACACAAGAGCCTTTGCAGGGAGTCACTAACATCACAATGACCCCACACTATTGTCCCATAAGCAAAACCAAAACTACTACATATTTTCGCCTCTTGCTAATAAAATAGGTCTTCTTGTTTCTTGTTATAGTTTCACACTTCTGATGGCTTTTCCTAAAGAGGCTGAGGTTGAGTTGTGCCCAAGTATTTATCCATGGAATCTTTTTTATGCTCCGGATCAAGGCTGTAGATGTCAATCACACCATGTTAATATAGAGATAATTTCAAGAAATAGCAACAGACTTTCATCTATAAGTTGTTATACCTATTTCTGACACCAAGAAGTGCAGAGTGGACTGCACGTGCGGCGGCAGAAGCCGGAGCAATGGCGGCTCCGGGAGCGGCCTGAACCGCGGTAGACAAAGCGGAGCCGACACCCGCCCCGCGTTGGTACTTTTTCAGGGGAGCCTGGACTAAAGCAGAGGCGGATCTTCCTATACCATCACTCATGGTTTCAAAAGCCTGTCACATGGATGAAATTTTTTCTTGTAAAAGGGTTTGAATCTTGATGTGTTAAAAAGACGAAAAAGCCCTTGATTACCTACCTGTTGTATCCCTTGGCGAGCATCTTTGGGTTGACTGGGTCGTCCATATGGGTTGACCCTGGTTTGTATAGGCCTTGGGATGGAAGTTGGTGAGGTGGTGGATATTATTTCCTCTGCTTGGAGGAGGATGGCATGTACCCCTGCTGCCAAATGTGCCCCTAGTCCAATAGCTTCAAGTGAGACACTCCTCAAGAACCCAATTGTTCCTATACAAAATTTCAAGTATGATTCACTCAATAAAAACAAAAAAAGTTTTTTTTTTTAGTTTATTATTTTACCTCTTTGCATTCCCTTCACTAATCTGCGATCTTTTTTATAGTTCTTTACAGGTAAAGAAACTAATTTTGCAGCACTTGAACCAATTGCAACTAGTGATCGAATTGGAGGAAGACCTTTCAGTAGTTTGTGAACCTGTAAAATTTATAATAATATATAAACAAATGGAAGTATGTTGTGCTATTTCTTGCATTTAGCCCTGGAAATAATAATAAAACTAAAACCTGATTCTGGGAAATGTCTTCCAACCATTGGCCAATAATGGTCTCACATACACTGCTCCATCCATAAACACCAACAGCTTGAACATTTTTCAGTTGCAACTCTACACCCTGAAAATATAAAGTAACAAAATGACTATTAATTTATGTCGGATAAGAATAAAGTTGAAGTTAAACCCATAATAACGAAAGAACATGCATGTAAATAAATCAAGAAAGTTACCTTCCATTGAAATAGATTAACAAGTTCCACATATTTCCCATGGCCTAAAGCAGGTAAGTCAACGCGAGAAGGAATGTAGTCAACACGAACAACGACAGGTGTTATGCTAAATTTCTGAAACAAAGATATTTGCCAGGTATGAGTACTAAAAGAACAACAAACAGAATTTATTTATGTGTAAATATATATATAGCTTGCCTGGAAATAAGGAAGTAATGCCTCCTCTGGCAAATCTATTTCAAATGTTTCTTGTGAATGATCAGGAGACGAGTTCTTTCCACCAAAGAAATTGATTAAGAATTCAAGTTGGCTTTGATGAAGATGTAATCGAATAGGAAGCACTGAAATTTGTAACCTGAAAAAAATATAGACATTGAAGAGATTAATGTCAACAAGCAAAGGAAGAAGAAATAGAAATCCAAACTTACCTGTATTCTTCAAGAGGAATTGAAGGATGTGGTCTAACAGATTCTAAATCAAATTTCAAAGCCCTAGAACACGATTCCCTAGGGCGATCTTTTGATTGATAACACCCCAGAATCTGTCTCCATGGTGCTCGATTGCTGACATCATCAAGACAGAGATCTTGAATTGAAAATGAAAGCTTAGAGACAGTTATTTCACCATCAGGGAACATATCATATTGAAACCCCATCTTTGAAAGCTTAAACTCTAAACCTATATCTTTATTCCTCATGCAAGAATCGGTTGTATATTGCCAGTGGGACCCACCATAGAGTGTCCACCTTACATCCATATTTTTCAAAACCACACGACCCTTAACTTTTTTAGAGGGCCCACTTTCAACAAAATGTTTGGATTTCGTTTGTTCTCCATTACCAAAAACATGATCCTCAACAATTGTCAAAAGTGAATCCCCATACCATCCACTTCCAACTTGCCCTTCAGTTTCCTTTAGAATTACCGTTTTGCCACTGGGATTTTGGTTGTTGAAGTACCCGTCTATCAACTCCAGTCCACTATCTTCCAACCCAAACATCTGAAATGGGACTTTAACAGGTGGCACAAATTCATGACTTTCATTCAAGTCAAATGCTCCTTCAGATATTTCATCCATCAAGTTGACTGTATACGTTTCATGAAACTCAGAACTTGATGAAGCAGAATGGTGGCTTGAGCTTCTTGATTTGCAACTCTCTTGTGACATCTGGACATCATCCCACCTTGTTTGCAAATGAACAATTGATTCTTCAACATCAGGAGCAAAAATCTGCTGGATTTGAGTAGCAAGACGAGCAAGTCCTGATGTAGAATCTTGACAAGTTTCTAGAACAATATGTGATTCATGACATTCAACTTCCCATTCATGTCCATTCACACAATTTGTTCTTAAAACAGCTTCGATATGTGTTTCTTCTGCAACTTTTACATACCCAAATCTTCGAAGATTCTGCTCACTGTAAGATCTTTCAAGATTCTTAACACCAGATTCTTCACATAACAGTAGGCCTAAATCATGACCTTGGATTTCATATTCCTTTTGGACTGAATTAGGTAATGAAACATTTGAAAGTTTCAAACTTGATGATGCTAGAAAACCAGAAACACGAGGTTCAGAATCTTGTGGAGATGTTGGATTACTTGAGTATGGTTCATAGCTCAAACCAATATCAATCAAATTAAGAACAAAAGAAGAGCCAGAAATTGTATCTTCCTTTTGGTCACTTTCGGTTGAAGCCTGGCTGAAAAAAGTTATGATAGCATCAAACCAATCCAAACGACCACCTATGGCAACTATAGTGGCACATCTGATGTTTATAGATACTTGACTCATAAAACTTTGTGGGTCCCACATGTGTATGATGTCAGACCCTGGAAGCCTAGAAGACAATATGTTTGAACCTTCACCATTTCCACGTCCCCTTGTGGAGTTTTCACATGAGATAAGAAGAAAGTTTTTACCAGAAACTTCTGTAGTAGAACCCAAAAGATCTCCCTCACCATGTCCCACCCAAAGA